TATATATATATATACTATATTATATTATACTATACTATACTATACTATGCACTAAGAATTAGTGCATTAGTTAATATTATAACGAATATAGCTTATATATATATATATATATATTAACAATAAATTAAAACGTCTCGACTTGTATCAATTAATATATGTATATATATAGCTTATATACTATATACTATATATATACTATATATTTTGTCGCTAAAGTTTGGTCGCTTTTTCCGGATTTCTAGTAGTGAGGGAAATCTCAGCAGACACAAGTGTTTAAGCTTGTATATGCTGAAGCTGTGCACCATATATGGATCGAAAGGAATCTCAAAATCTTTGAGCAAAAGAGCAGACAGTGGGAACATATTGCAAAGGAGATTGCTTATATCTGCAGTGTTCGAGTACCACCTGCGATCATGACTTTCCTGCACAGCCTTCAATTTTGAGTTTATGTGTATTTTCTTTCCGTCATTTCGTTAGTAGATAGCTATATGAGCTTAGTTGGGATTACGTGTATTTCTTTTAGTCATTTGTTTAGATAGCTAGCCGTGTGAGCTTAGCTATGATTTTGTAAATATTTTTTGGTGATTAATAAAATTATGTTAGTTACCAAAAATAAAATAAAAAAATAAGCACAAATAATCATACATAAAATGTGAAATTATTTGTAATTTGAAAATAAGACATGATTATTATAATAAGTTAAAATATACTTGCAGTGTAAATATTTTTATATTGTCAGCGTATTACTTGGCAATAACGTTTTCCTCATGTCCTCTTATAATTAAACTTGTATTTTATATTCTGTGACATCCTCAACCATTAGATTTTCATCAGATATACTGATAACTACGTGAAGGCTCTATTTTTCATGCTATAATAATTTCTTTAGCAGGGGACATTGTGCACGAGAAACATGTGGATTTTGACGTGCATGAAGTACATGTGGATACTGACTTAAAATTTTGGACAATGCACATTTATATTGAATATCACTCAAGTGGAATTTGATCGAGTGCACATTATGTCTCCCCTCCCCCCCCTACACATCCCCCATAACACAAAAGAGGATCATTTAAGAGTTAAATTTGACGGGTCTAACAATTTGGTTCTTATAGTGAACCTTATGCCATTTAAATTATGAGTCCAAAATTTACTAATTTTAGAATTTTAATAATATCATGTATATATATAAAGTTTATATCAAAATATTAGGTTCAATTGAACTCGTTGATTGCATGCGCCAACCGCCAGATGATAAATATTGAAAAGCTATGTTACTTTATTGCATGTCCTAGGACCCTAGCTATATACATATGGTGACTTCATTTGAATTTTAATTAGATGTTAACTCTATCCTGCTCCTCTTCTTCATTTGGTTGATCTCCTAATGGTTATTAAGTTCAAGACCTAAGGATATTGGACGATTTTTTGAAAAATGAATGATGATTTTATTCGAATATTAATTAATTACCAGAGTTAATGATCGATCATCTCTGAAATAAGGTATTGCATGGGATTCGATTGTTTCATTTGCATGTCTTAATGTTATTGTATAGCTATTTGTTTTTTTTTAATTTAATTAATAACAAAAATTAAATACAAAGGAGGGGGACACCAATACTCCCAAGGTAAATACAAATTCCAATTGAAAGACTTGTTTTCTACCCAATACATGTCACAGATCCAAGATATGACCATGAATCTGCCTTATGTACTAAGCACCTGAAACTATAATGCTCTTCACCAATCATTATCTGTAGCCACATACCTCAGAGGATCAAGCTTCTAACAAATACAATAGTCATGCCCTTTATACTATATCTTGTAACAGAGAGCATGATCAATTACCAAAACTTAAGAGCATTCTTGTTCGCACATACTGGTTCTTGATAATTTTATGTCTCAGATTAGGTAGTTGGATCTTATCAAGTCTATAGTAGCCAATAGTATTTCTGGGCAAATTCATAGACTGGAAGACCATCTTCTCTTGTAACTCATGGCTCCATTTAGACGGTACATCTGCCACATAATTTGCCTTTCTAAAACTGACAACATTATGCTGAAAAATAATACTTTGAGCTTCCCTAATTGTGTTCTCGATCTGCCAAGGAGGATTGAACTTGTTGTCTAACATATCAACAACCAGTTTAGAATCACATTTCGGTATTATTTTGTCATACCCATTGGACTGACACCATAAAAGTCCAATCAAGGCTGCTCTTGCTTCTGCCTTGTTGCTAGTGTCATTGCCCAATGCCTGTGCAAAGGCCATAAGCATTTCCCCTCTATGATTTCTCACAACCCCACCAGCACCAATTAAACCATCCCTCAGCTTACTACCATCAGTATTGAGTTTTATCCACCCAAAGTTAGGTCTCTCCCATATAACAGGGAAACAATGAAATTTAGGAGACAGATTCAAAAGAGTTTCACATAACCCAGACCAAGAAATAGAATCAACTATTGGTCTGTTATGTTTAGAGATTACCCACTTGAGGTGAGAAAGAACCTAAAAATAAATTCTATTTAAGGAAATTTTAATACCTCCATACCTCGACGCACACCTAGCTTTCCAGATCTCCCAGCAAATAATAACAGGAGTGATTTTGATAATGACCTGGACCACCTTGTTTTTTGCTTTGGAGCTCCACCACCTGCTGATTATATTGAGTATAGGACTGTCATCCCATCTGATCCCCAATGGTGCCCCAAAGAACTTCCATGTATTTCTGGCCATCTCCCCATTGACAAAAGTATGCTGCATAGTTTCGGTGTGTGGAATTCTGCAACACATACATCTTGAGACGATTTGTCGTCCAAATTTGCTATGATGTCATCAAATGGTAGCTTCTTTTAATAATTCTCCACATAAAAAGGACATTTTATATGAAAGATATTTGTGCCACACTTTCTGTAATATTGGAGCATTATTTCTTGCTTGTCTCACTACCGGCCAAGCTTAGAAAGTTGTGAACAAGCCATTAGATGAGGGCATCCAGATAGTACTGTCAGCAATATTAGGATCTCCAAGCTTACATGATTGAATAAGCTCAATAATATGTTCAGGAAATTCTTGAAGCTCGTCAAAAAGTATGGACCTACCAATCCTAACCTGCCTGAGCATCTTCATATTATAAGGTTCATCAAGTTGGACTACGCCAGCCAGAGCACCAATACCTAGCCAATTATCCCACCATAAACTGATATTCCCTTCATTGTATTTCCACAATATATATATTTTCAGCTTTTTCTCTGATCTCTAGTAGATTTTTCCAACAGTGAGAGTCCTTCCGATTCCTCTTTTTCTTGGCAGGATGAACTCTACTACAATATTTAACTCTTAAGAATTCCGCCCATACAGATCTGGAAGTTCTAAATCTCCACCATCTTTTCACAGCGAATGATTTACTCACATCCATTATGTATCTAAATCCCACACCACCTTCCTCTTTGGGATAACATAGATTTGTCCAAGAACTCCAATGATATCTTTGTTTGCCATCTGCCTGTCCCCTGTAAAATCTAGCCAAATATCTTTCAATCTGTTTGATAACTATCTTTGGTGGGGCTATGCCTATCCCCTGTAAAATCTAGCCAAATATCTTTCAATCTGTTTGACTTTGGTGGGGCTAAGGCTGCAAGTAAATGCAACGTTTGAGACTATAGGATATGCTTTAGTAGAAATGCTCTTCCACATATTGATAGTAATTTTCCTTGCCAACAATTAGTCTTTCTCATAATCTTATTCACTGAATCACTAAAATAAGAGATCCTTTTTCTTCCCATATATAATGGACATCCTAAATATATGATAGTGATATTTTATACTTCAATACCACACATGGGGGAGAGTGATTTTTGTGGTGAACAATTTTTCTCTTAAACTGATTATGGAAGGACCTGGTTCTTCTAAGTGTTCCTTAACCTACTATTGCAGAAATAGTAAATGCGGAAAGTAAAGAACACAAGTATTTTACGTGGAAAACACCTGGCTCAACAGGTGAAAAAACCACGACCTACTTCTCAGTAGGATTTTCCCAAACTCTTCACTAAATCACTAAGCCAAAAAATGCATTTACAAAAATACTTTTGTAAGCCTAGAACTAACTCTAATCCCGTTGTGGCAAACAGCCTCTAACTGTTGCGACAACTTCAAGTTAACTCTAACTTGAAAACTCTGAGTACCTATTATAATTGCCTCTATATAAAGCTGAAAGGTACAATATGAAAATATCTACTGCAATTGAACTAGAATAAAAGACAGACACTTGGAACTGGTTCTTCTATCTGGTTCAAGTAGCTTTAGGTTTGCACACTTGAATCACACACGAATTGCTTGCAAAATTTTCTTGCTATTTTGCTCTCAATTCACGATTAACTTCTGCTTATGTGCGTACCTGCAAAATGAAAACATTCTGCCATATATAGGATTAGTAGATGAAGAAATAATTAGAGTTCTAATGCTACTCTTCCTTGGTGGAAGAGTTCTAATTAATCTCAACTACTAAATCCTTACTTATCTTGGATAATGTTCTCTTTGAGTTAGGAGTCCTTCTCCTTATCATTTATGCAATCTTTTCGATCAGGTAATATCCATTCTGCCAGAATACCTTTATCCCCTATATGTGCATCTCACGTGCCTTGAGTCTGCCTGTGTCTATGTCAACCAGTGATGGACCTGGTTCATTTCTGAGGTCCTTTGTCATTATTCAAAACTATCCTTTTTCTTGGGCCAACAAATTCCCACTTTTTGATGATGACAAATTCCCAAAAGCTTAGGCCTGATTTAACTTAGCAGCAACGCTTTGTTAGAAACTTTTAAAACTTATCATCAAGGACCAGGTTCATTAGGTTATAAACATCACTATTCAAAGCACAACTCAACCTTCCTCCTTTTGGCATCATCGAAAAGTTGCATAAAAAAGTGTGATTCCCAGATTTTAAGAAATTACTCTTGGCCACTGGGACAACTGCAAATGCATTCATGGATTAATCATCAATAATCAACCACTTATTCAAACTATCAAGGAAATATATACAATCAATAAGAGCAAAAAGCAGCAAACTTCATTAATAGAGAATATGATTCTACCACAATCCATAAAGAGAAACAAAAATATTCAAAACATGACAAACAAAAAAAATCCCTAATCTAGGTCACTAAAAGGTCTGGGCAAGGTCTAGGAAACTAAGGCTTAGAAGATCTAAGGGCTTGGGTTTTGGCTTGGATAAGGTGCAACATATCTTTAAGGATTCCATCATTCTTCTCCATTTCCTTAGTGAGCTCAGTTCTAAGAGCATCTCTCTCATATTCTACCTCTGTCAAATGAGTCTTCAGCCTAGGTATCTTAGCATCCTTTGCCCCACTCTCCTGCACTAGGGCTTTGACCTTGCTGTTGGAGTGACATCGACCTCATAATCACAAGCAATCATAGTCTTGACTCTAAAATGTTCTTTGCTTGTGGCCATCTCCCACTTCTTTAGCGGCACCTTACAATGAGCAAGAAATGTAATGAGAATGAAGCCATAAGGAGTGGAATGGACCTTGGGGCCATTGACAACCCAATCTAGTAGTTTGATTATGAACCCAGGCCAATTTATCTGCCGCCCACTATCCAGACATTCCATCAGAACTAAGTCCATGTAGTTAGCAATGTTCTTTCTTTCCTACCTAGGCAGCACACACTTGTTGATGAATTCAAACAACACCTTGTGGGGTGGTGTCATTTCACTCTTATACACAAACTTTGGTTCAGTCACTTCTTCGTCAGTATCACAGAATTTCTTAGTGATGGCTAGTGTAGTAGGAAGAGAGTCTAGACTTGGCCATTTCTGCCTTGTATAATCAAAGGAAAACCCCTTTCACAAGGCTGGTGACCCTTCCATCCTTTACCTCAGCATTGGCCATGAATTCAACAATTTTATTTCTAGCCAGTCTTCCATCTAAATGACCATGTCCTTCCACCCCTGCACCTCAAGCTTCTTAAGTAACAAAACCATTCCTTCTTCCTCCAAGTTCTTCAAAAGTCTCCCCTTCAAGATAGTTCATTTGCCAAACTTGGCCAGCTTGTCCTTTTCACTGTCAGATTCATCCTCCTTATCACCACTCCAGTCCTCTTCTTCAGTAATTTTCACTTGCTTAGCTTTCACTACAGACCTTGTTCGTTTATCCAAGGTAGAGGGTTCAACATACTTAGATACAGAGGAAGACTTCTTTGAAGAAGTCTTAGATTTCTTGGGCTTAAGGGTATGAACCTTCACCTCAACAGTAACATATTCACCTTGATGGACCAGGTCCATCTCATCCACATCAACAGTTTCAACAAGCTCTTCCACCTTTTCTTTTCCTTTGTCCATCCTTTTCTTCTTACTCTCTTTCATAGCTTTCTAAAGTTCCTCCTTACTTTGCTTCAGCTTGCTCCTCGTGGCCCTTCCTTTTGGGAGAGTATTTTTAGAAGTATCAGAAGGAGCAGCCTTCCTTTTCTTGTTGACTCTTGCTGTTCTAGGGGTCTTTGTTTGTGGAGTTCTTTTTTTCTTAGGGTTATAACTATCACCTATCTTCTTTAGAAGATCTGCTAGTGCTTCTTCAACAGATGAACCAGGTTCTTCTTGCCAAGATTTACTATCCCTTCAGTCGCTTCCCCTGATCCACTTCCCCCCAGTTTTCTTGCTACTTTCTACTGCCTTTTCTGGCTCAGCTATACAGATAGCCATTTTAATAGTTTCAGAGGTGGGTGGAGAATCAGCCACTTCTTTATCTTTTCCCTTATCATCACTACACACACCCTCACACTCTTTTTCTTTTTCTATTTTGTTTACCTCCTCTCCTTCTTGACTCAGTCATTTCCATATCCACAATAGACCCAACCAAAACAAATCGATTTTTCAAATTGTCAGCCAGATAAAAGGTTACCTCAGTAGAAAGATTTTGCACAGATGTCACCTACTCAGAATCGGAAGACCCAGTTCCTTCCCCCTCACTCGCAAACTTGAAGGAATCATCAGAATCTTAGGAATCTTAGGCTTGACTAGCCTTTAACTATGCATTTAATTTCCTTGAAAGCACGCCAGTCGCCACACTTTTTTGAGCAAGCATCTTTACTCTCCGTCTCCTAGGTTGAGGGGTAGAGCTGGGTTGAGGAGTGGTAGAGGAATCAGAGGGAGTAGGTGGAGAAGGTGTACCGGGATTATGTTGGGGGTTAGTCATTTTCTCTGGATTCTGTGAGAAAGGAGATGGGTGTGCAGAATTTTTGAAGCGAAGAGAATAGAAGAGAGAATTTTTTTGACGATTATGGAAATTTTGGGAGAGTGGCAGTGGTGATGATGATGAATTTAAAGAGGGAGGCGTAATTAATACACAACAACAGCTTTTAGTAGTCAAATAGAAATCTAATCACCCTGAATTTTCAGTTTGAATAGGCGGTTAGGCTTCCCTAGAATCTAGACATTTTAACACGATGAGAATTCTTGTTTAAAATAGAACTGGTTCAAAATTAATTGGATAGGCTTTTGAGATTTTGGACTTGGGTAGGACTCTGCTCATGATTTAAATATTAGTATTTCAAATTGTGCAGAGTGTAGAAAACATACCTCGCTATTCAAATGAACCAGCACTGATGAACCAGGTTCTTCGCTGAGAATCCTCTTGATTGTGTCTCAATTTTCCAAAAAACAGAGAAAATTTTGTTAGAGATCAGTGAGTCATATTAACACATGGCACATGAGTATACTAGTTACAGTATGAGACTAAGCAACAATTAATCT